ATATATATATATATATATATATATATAATCTCACTCTACTTATATTTTAATGAGCTTTTAAGATATAACTTTTAGCCATAAATAGTAAAAAATTAATCAATTACAGTCGATTATTAAGACTCACATTTGACTGTGCTTGGTCAACTTCAAGTTAATCTTTTACAAGTTAATTTTTTACAAGCGGTGTAAAAGATTAACTTTAATCTCAGTTTAATTTACTCTTTATCTTTTTCTAATTCTAAGAATTAGAAAAAGATAAATAGTTAAGAGCAATCAAGATTGAAATTAATTTTATATTGTTGGAAGCGAACCTTAAGAGTTAAAAAAGAGGAAGAAGGATAAGGACATAACAGCATAGAAACTTGCAGCAACATTGCTGTAATATTGCTGGATTAATCAACTAGGAATAAGAAAAGGTAAGATAAATATAAAAAAATAAAGCTAAAAAGAGAGAGAAAGAGATACTTGTGTAGATAGAAAGTTTTTTATATGAATTTTTTCCAATAATTAAATGTGTAAATATGATATTAATGTAAATAAATTTAAAGAATTAAAGGCTATGTTAGTTAGGAAATAAGGATAAAGAAAGTTAATAATATGTAATATGTATATAAGCGGCGTCTACAATGAGATTTCAAGGCATAAAATTTAAAGTTTAATCCATAAGAAATTGACCAATCATAGTCGATTATTCCTCACATTTCTTCATATCCCTCACTTTCAACTTGATTGATCAATTTCTTACGGTTTAAAGCTTAAGTTTTACGTTAAAATCTCATTGTAGACACTATTTGAAGCAAATTGGTGTGTTAATTAGCAGTTAAGTTCAAGGACCGAATAGATGTATTCGATTAAAATTTAAATTGTAAACCAAGTTCCTTCTTGCAAGTTGAAGTAAATAAATTTTATATTTGCGCATAATAATTGAAAGTTCTGACAGATGTTGTGATTTTTCAAGATAGTACGATTTCTGGACAGACTTTCGAATTGCTGTTCGTCTGAAGAACCGAAGACGTTTTTGCGTGTTGTTTGAAACTTCAGATACATCATTCAGTCAGATACGAGTCTGGCCAAGAGTAATTTTATTAAGCTATCCTAGAGAGAGAAAGGTATATATAATTTCTCCCTCTGTATTATATATACTATCTCACTCTAATTTATATTACTTCTCTCTATAATCTTAATTAAAGTTAAGCGATATCTGTAATGAGATTTTAAGGTGTACAACTTCAGCTTTACCGCCATAGGAAGTTGACCAAGTACAATCAAATGTGAGTCTTAATAATCAACTGTAATTGATTAATTTTTTACTATTTAAAGCTAAAAGCTTAAGTTATCTTAAAAGCTCATTAAAACAATATAAGTTAGAGATTATATATATGTATATATATATATAATGATATTTACAGAGAGTCTCTCGTAAAATTTTAATAAAATCATTCGTATGAATCATAGGGCCTCTA